TTGAGACCCGTGAGCTCACTTACACGTCAAGGAGAAGGTGAAATAGCCTCTCAAAGCTATCAGCATAGGTAGGAAAAAAACCGTTTTCCCTCCCTCACAACTCAACGCTCCGTTCCACAATCTTTTCGTACGTACCGTTCTTACCAATCCTACATACGTGAGACATTCCTAAAATCTACACAGACGCTGGAGTTTTTGTTGTAAACTAATATATTACATTGTACAGACGAACGCACAATTCCAGCGCTGTGAAATTGCGCTGTCATTAACGTCATTGTTAATTACAAACGGGCGTTTCTTATTTGTATGTGAGAGCGTTTAAAGTCGCTCTGTTAAATATAAATATTAAATATTCTTCTCTTTCGAAGCGAACGATTTCTAATACGATATTTATTTACCTACGTTTGGCTTAATGAAACCTAACCACACTGTTGAGACCAACGCTGGTTGTATGAAAGACTTCGATTTATTGAAGCTACTCGCTTGCCCTCTATCGTACACTTCATCTTCTGTACTATGACAGAAGGATTCCTTGTGCCAACAACATATGTACCAAGTTTCAATCATATTATAATTGACTAGCGACCCGCCCTCGCTTCGCTTCGGAAACATTAAAACACACATGAAACCAAAAAAATAAAATAAAAAAAAATAAAAAAAAGTAGCCTATGTTCATCACGGACAATGTCGTCTTCTTATTGAAAAAGAATTTCCAGTAGTTTCGGAGCCTATTCGAAACAAACAAATCTTTCCTCTTTATAATATTAGTATAGATGATGCTCTAGGAACACATAGAGGACAAATATAAACGAATAAACTATGAAGTGGTTATCTATTTTAAAACTTAAAAATCTAAATTTTAGTGTGAATGTTCAGAATAATTAATATAATGCAAATCGTAAAACAAAGCACGTTTTGTGAGTTCACACGAGTAGGTACCACAACCCTGCCTGTTTCTGCCGTGAAGCAGTAATGCGTTTCGGTTTGAAGGGTGGGGTAGCCTTTGCAACAGTAGATGTCAATAATTGATGAAAATTGCAATTGAAAAAATTAATCTCCTTTGTTTGTTGGACAGAGATATTTTATTAGTGGCATAATTATTTCCATTGTAAGTAGCGTTTTCTTTCTATATTTCGACACTCGTCTGCAACTCTGCGTCCTATCCATGCGAATGACAACAAACAAACAAACAAACGAACGACAAAAACACGCTTGTGTCGTGCGAGATAAATACACTCAGAAAAATACAAGATCAAATTAAAACGCGAATGAATCTAATAACTAAAAGAATAAAGTTAATTTATCGAAAGCAATTTTTGATAATGTTGAATGTTAAATAGTTAACTTCTTTACGTATTAGAAAAATGAGCTTTAAACAAAGGTAGATAATTATTAATTTTGGTCTTAATCGCTTTTCTCGATAAGAACTGGTGTGTGTAGTCTATATGGAAACATTTGATCCTCTTTAGGTCGAATCAGAGGCTTTCAAACTTCTTATTCTCAAAAACCCCTTCTCATTTAGAGTGGACTCACAATGTTTTCCGAATAAAACACTACGCAATGAAAACCATGTTAAATCATTTGACTATCATATTTATTCGAATTAAATATCTAATAGACAATATTTTGCCCCCTTAAACGACGTGTTTTGAGTGCAAAAGGGGAAATATCAAATATTAGTTATACAAAACATTGTGATAGGGCAAATAATTAAAAAAAAAGTTTCTCTTTCAAACGATTTAGGTAGTTGATCTAACCATTTTTAACAGATTTCGCGCGTATTTTTGTGAACACGTCATAATCGGAAGCGGCGTATTCGTTATTAGGTACGTAATATTACCATAGATAATACATTCAATATCCAATAATCTTATAACACTGATGAAATAAAATAAAAGGCTTCGTAGCAAAAGATAAATAACCTTCAGGAGGGGCCTGCGATGTCTTATTATACATCAAATTATCGCGACGTCCTGCATTAAGTTTATGCCGTGGAAATCTTAAAGTAAAAAATAAACCAGTTAGGCCGGACACCTTGTTCCCGGCGTGTTTTTTCCGTTTCGCCTATTTACTTTAACAGGAAAGGGGTCAACGCAAGCTGGATCGGCTTCGGTGTAATACACACGAACACTAAGTTTGCATGACTTGACTTTGTAATGTACAAAAATGTATACAAAAATTAAAAAAAATTAAGCCTCTATTCTTCTTCTTCCAGTGCCTCTTCAATCCTGAAGGTTGGCCGTTAGCTTTCTGTATTCCTTTCTGTCAGCAGCCAGCCGGAACAGCTGTTCGACGGAGGCAATACCGGTCCACTCCCGGATATTCCGGAGCCATGACTTTTTTCTTCGCCCAGTACGTCTCTTTCCGTCCACTTTGCCCATAATTATCAGCTGCAGCAGCACGTATCGATCGTTCCTGAGCACGTGGCCGAGATACTCTATCTTGCGCTTTTTAATAGCAGGCAACATTTTCCGGGACATATGAACGCGCTGAAGCACGGTTTCGTTCCTGACCCTCTGCGTCCAACAAATAAGCATCTTTTTTTTTTTTTTTTTTTATGGTTGAAGGATTACTGGTGGCCCGGAGGCCTTTCCAGTTTCACCAGGACAGGTGGGCGAGCAAAGGCTCAGCCAGGAGGGGTGGGATTTGCTAACAGCTACCCGAGCGCCTCCGAAGGAGACCTAACAGCTCAAGAGCAGCTGCTTCGCGAATGAATCTACTACCGGATCGGAATCGCGACCCGCTGAGAAGATCCGGCGAGAAACTCAGCGAGCTGATTCATGGGTTAGGTTGCACGGCGAACTCTTTGTCGAGTTCGACGAGTACGGTTACCGAGGTCCCTAAGCCTGCTCCTAGAGCTGAAGGCGTCTAGTGCGAAGGTTATTGGATCTGATGGATCCGTAAGGACGGGTCTAGGGCGTCNAGGGTGTCTATGTGTGTGCGGGCCGCGTGAGCGAACACCACACTCGCGTAAGTCATGACGGGCCTTATGCAAGTTTTGTAAAGTGTCACCTTGTTCCGAAGGGACATTTTACTCCGCTTACAAATCATGGGGTAGAGTCTACCGAGAATAAACGCGGCACGGTCACGGACTGATTTTATATGCGGGCGGAATGTCATCGATGCATCCAGGGTAACGCCCAGGTACTTGACCTTCCTGGCCCAGGGTATGGATTGACTAAAGAGAGTAATCGGGGAAATAAGCATCTATAATTGCATTAATAATCTTCATAACTCATGTGTCTGTCTGTATGTTACGAAATTGTTTATTTATGAAATTGTTATCTTTAAAAAAAATTAGACCGCGTACTTAAAACACAGAATCTTAAACGTATTTCATTATGTTTCCCACGTTTAAATGCGTTGAATGAATTAAATGTTTACGAAATCCAAACTTTTTTTTCTAATGAATGCGAAAAGAACTATTGTCAACTATGTAAAGTTTCAATTAATACGTTCTGAGACCACACTCGATAGCACCACCGTCGCCATCCTTCAGTTTTCTGCATTCAGTTTCATGCGTTGTAAGCCAATGTAAGGCTGCTATCGACCTGGTTTGCGACCAACAATTTTAATTACACATGACCTCCGATTACAGCAACCTGTAATCGAATACCGGTGTTCGCTTTGAGACATAAAGTCTAGGTTTAAATTGCTTCAGAATAAAAACTATGCTGCTCTTTTTTTTTCAACCAAGGGGTTATACTAGATTCTCCGGGCGAGTAGGTGACCTTTTTTTTTTTTTATGATTGAAAGTTTACTGGTGGCCCGTAGGCCTTTCCAGTTTCACCAGGACAGGTGGGCGAGCAAAGGCTCAGCCAAGAGGGGTGGGATTTGCTAACAACTGCCCGAGCGCCTCCGTAGGAGACCTAACAACTCAAGAGCAATTGTTTCGCGAATGAATCTACTACCGGATCGGAATCGCGACCCGCTGAGAAGATCCGGCGAGAAACTCAGCGGGCTGATGCATGGGTTAGGTTGCACGTCGACCTCTTTGTCGAGTTCGACGAGTACGGTTACCGGGGTCCCTAAGCCTGCCCCTAGTATTAGAGCTGAAGGCATCTAATGCAAAGGTTATTGGATCTGATGGATCCGTAAGGACGTGTCTAGGGCGTCGACGGTGACTGGCTCCTGCATGATCAGGATTCGGGGAGTAGTCAGCGGCGGCAACGATAAGNAGAGGGTGCCGAGGCTTTGATGTCTGGGCCGGAAGCTCGGAGGCGGTTTTGGCGGGCGACGCGGCGATTTATTTTAGGGGCTCGGGGGCAACCACGGTAATTCGCGGGGTGACCCTGTGTTCGACACAGGACGCAGCTAGGCGGTTCCGTCGCGGTTTTTTGGTCGCGAGCGCAGAGGGCCGTGGCGTGATCGCCCAAACACTTAACACATCGGGGGCGCGCGTGACAGTTACGGGAAGAGTGCCCGTACAATTGACAGTTATGGCACTGGCTAGGAGTGCCTTTTTTATGGGGGGCTTCGATGGCGATACCGGAGAGCCTACAGACGGTCTGTGTGTTGAAGATTTTCTTACCCTCGGGGGTAGGCTGGAGGGTGACTAGAACAGTAGGTGACCTCTCGGGGCTCTAAGCTGGGGACGTTGCTAACACTAGCCCTAGCAAGAGCAGTGCTTCGCTGAACCTACCACCAAGGATCGGAAACGCGACCCACTGATAAGATCCAGCGAGAAACTCAGTGGGCTATGCTACTCAATCAACCGGTGTGCTTAATGCGAGTTTGCCCTTCGTTTGCCGCTAGGGGCGCTGTTCCAACTCCATACAAATTTGAGTTAACTTTTACGCGTTCGAAAAGTTAACAAACTCGCACACGGAACTCATTAATAATTCGACAGAAATAACTTAGAACGCACCTAATCAGAAAATAAAACCATTTTAGTTTTTTCACATCGACAATAACGCTCGCATTTCTTCCCGTCGATGTGTATAAACGACGGAGCGAGTATAAAACGAGTAGGTTCGGTCGTTTCGCGTCTTCTCGTTGCCCACAAGGTCAAGTGCGAGCGTCCGAGTCCATTGCTCCTCGCGTGAGCATCGCCCGCGCCCGCACTACGTACACTCGCCCTACCCTAGCTGGACGAGGTGAGTACATACAAAACATAACTATAACATTATAAACAAAGAAATAGAACGAAATTAAAATCTCATGATCTCAAAATCCATGAGAATAGGTGACAAATTCGTCTTCAAATGCTGGTCTGTCTTCTAAGATAAAAAAAGCCTAAATATAGCTCATAATAATCATTTTTTTATCATCATACACAGTATTTCATGCTCGATAATTATAAAGACTAGTGGTCCTCTAATAGTCGAAATTCGACTATAATTAATTGAAATTAAAAGTTTGAACATTAATAAGGTTCTATTGTCAAAGATTATTATAATTCTATAATCACAGATTTCGCCAAAATTACACTAGGTATAGACAAATAATATTAAAGACAAAAAATATTAATCTATTCTCAATTTTACCACAGATTTAAACAATAACAAAAGCTTGACAATAAACAAAGAGTATATTTATATGTGTGTGTTGTGTCAAATACATGGTAGCGTGTGTGATGTTTTTTTATTGCTTTAATGTATTTTTTGCTTAATTTAAAAAGAAAATTAATATTCTGCACTCCTTCTCTATTTTCTCTATAAGTGTAGAAAATCATACTCCTCCGTCCGCACAATTTTCGTAAAAAGGGGTAAAAACTAATAATATATGGATAATTAGATAGTTAAAAAGTTAAAATAAAACGTAGGCAACGAATGTTTATTTAATTAAGCTGCGTTATAATGTTCATATAATTCACGAAGTTATTACTTATTTAACGTTTCACTGAGTTTCTCGCCTGATCTTCTTAGTGGGTCGCGATTCCGGCGGTAGATTCTGCGAAGCACTGCTCTTGTTAGGGTCGTATTAGCAATTCTCTCAGATTGAGTCTGTGAGCTCACCTACCGGTCCGTGCGTAGTTGGAGTATCCCTATAGATTATCAACTATTAGGGTAAAATAACTTATTTAATGGAAACAACTGTTTAAATCACTGAGAAATTAAAAGAAAAACATTTCGCGTACAAATAAATTTTAAAGTTACATATCTCCAAAACAAGTTCGTTTTCCATCCTGATTTCTAATATGTAGGTATGCAGTTTTATTTGTAACTTTACTATAATCAAATTGACTTAGACCAACCATACTGTTTATATCTAAGGTCTTTAACAAAATTACTTGACAATTGAAAGTATTTTTTTATATTTTTTCTTTGTCGTCTTAAAAAGAAGACTAATTGCAACGGGAATTCTTTCTTAATCAAATTCTTTACTCCAAAGCTGGGAACAAAAATAATATCTTAATATTGGAATTGGTATACATATCATTTTTAAATATTGATCCACTAAAGAGATACCATAAAGATTGTCACGCTACGACTTTTAGCCAAAAAGTAGATATTTAGCTACTACAGGAATTTGCAAATAGTTATCCACCTGTTTGAGGTTACATTACTCTACTCATGATTCGAAATAGGGGGTTGAAATTTAGCTACATCTAGCACGGACAGATATGAAGCTAATAATAATTCCAACGCGTAATTTATCATCGCCTAGCTGACGAAGTATTTTATAATTTAAGTACTGTAAGGTAGAGTGAGTAGAGTAGTGAATTTGTAGGGTATATCTGGTATTCAGCTGTGCTTGCGTGAGTCCTTCAATGATAAACATTTCGATTGAAAAGGAATGAGTGAAGTTTCGCGGCAGAAATGAACACTTCATACTCCCGCATAAATTGACCTAATAAAAAATAAAAGCGAATTCAACAAAATAAAATGGCAATATTAATCATCATGTAGTCGAAGTCTTAGTAACGTCAAACATAACTAGTAAGGTCTTGATACAATTTAAATGAGTACACATAAGATGCACCAGCTTCCAAATAAAAAAATCATAATAAAAATCAGTTCATCGAGAAAAATCGAAGTGAGAAAAACCTAATTTTTTTAAGTCAGTGAAATAGATTAGTTGACGTTGGTTTCGTTAGCCTTATCTTACCTCATCTAAGATCTGCCCATAATATTGTCAATCTACACTTTATTCTTATAAAAAGTCTCATTTTTCGTTACTTACAATTTATAGGAATATAAATAAAATTTTATTTAAAGAAAAACTATTTTTTTCGTGTTTATCTTCTATACCAAACCATTCTGAGGAAAATTGATACAATAATTTATGGCACTCCAAAGAAAAAAAATTCTCTCAGTATAGCATCAGAGTATACCATGATAGGGGGCATGCGAGTAATTTTTATCGATGTTTTTCATACCGAAGCAAGACCGCTAGTAAAATTATTCACTGGTGGTAATACCTGGTGGTAGGACTTATTGTCCTGGTGGGAGGACCTCTTGTGAGTCCGCACGGGTAGGTACCACCACCCCGCCTATTTCTGCCGTGAAGCAGCAATACGTTTCGGTTTGAAGGGTGTGGTAGCCGTTGTAACTATACTGAGTCCTTAGGACTTATATCTCAAGGTGGCGCATTGACGTAGTAGATGTCTATGGGCTCCAGTGACCACTTAGCACCAGGTGGGCTGTGAGCTCGTCCACCCATCTAAGCAATAAAATAAAATAGTAAAATTAAAATGACATTTTTCCGGTCAACTATGCGTCCCCAAGCCTGGTCCTGATGAAACTCAATACAATTATTGCTAGTATTCCAGTGAAGATATCTGTAGACTATTAACATACGACAGGCATCACTATTTCAACAAATGGGTTCATTTCTTACGTATGCCGGGTTTCTTACTATTTCAAAACAACGAACATCCTAAATAACAAATAGAACCAATAAATTAATCCAATTAAATTCTATTACCCCCTACAAAATAATTCGTACAACACAAGTTTTTTTTTTATTGCCCTTGTAGGCAGACGAGCATACGGCCCACCTGATGGTGAGTGCTTACCGTCGCCCATGGACTTCAGCAATGCCAGGGGCAGAGCCAAGCCGCTGCCTACCGCAAAAGCCGCTGCCTACCGCCCAAGCCGCTGCCTACCGCATAGCACAAGTAGCATATTTGCTCAAAAAATCGAATCCTCATTAAACTAACATTTCAATTAACGCAATAAACACCCGTTAAAAGTTGAATAATATTCAAATTCTAACGGTTTCATCGAATGTGTTGCTATTTGTATAAAATATTAACGAACCGTGACGAGGTTAAGAAAACTACGGTTATTTTAAACGCTAAAGTAAAATTAATTAAAATCATTTAACAGCAATTATCTGGCTCTGTGTTCAAAATGCTTGCATGTGTACCAAAACCGGTTGATGATAAAACTTGCTAAAACTATTTAGCCACTTAACTCTAACACTTACTAGTGGTAGGACCTCTTGTGAGTCCGCGCGGGTAGGTACCACCACCCTGCCTATTTCTGCCGTGAAACAGTAATGCGTTTCGGTTTGAAGGGTGGGGCAGCCGTTGTAACTATACTTGAGACCTTAGAACTATATTTCAAGGTAGGTGGCGCATTTACGTTGTAGATGTCTATGGGCTCTAGTAGCCAATTAACACCAGTTGGGCTGTGAGCTCATACACCCATCTAAGCAATAAAAAAAGTCAAATTTCTCGCTGGATTTTCTTGGTAGGTCGCGATTCCGATCCGGTGGTAGATTCAGCGAGGGCTAATATTAGCGAATTGAAGTCGTGGCCTGCGGGATAAGACGCCCGGTGCATTCGTATCGAGCGATACAACTGTGCCGGTGTTCAAATCCCGCAGGCAGATACCAATTTTGACAAACGAAATACGTATTTAACAAATGTTCACGAATGACTTCAACGGTGAAGGAATAACGTCGTGTAATGAAAAATCATCAATCATCATCATCAATCATATAATTTGCATAATTACTGGTGGCAAGGTGTCTTCTAAGCCCGCGCGGGTAGGTAACTGATCATTTTTGCCGTGAAGCAGTAATGCGTTTCGGTTTGAAGGCAGGAGCAGATATTGTATGGAAAAAAAATTGTAACGGCATTTACTTTGTTGACGTCAATGAGAGCCGGTGATCACATAAGAACAATTGGGCCATCCATCTTAACAATAAAAAATAACATAAAAAAGTACTCCCAGAATTAGTACCATGAGCTCACCTACTAGTGCGCACGTGCTTGAAATGGCCCGTAGGCTACCGACGATTTGATAGGGAAAAAATAGACACATTTATCTTCAAGCGAGCTTAGAAGGAAATTTTTCGGGGTAGAATGTAGCAGCTTTATCCAAGCATTGGTGATGTCCATGGGCAAAAATGCATTAAGCATCAGATGAGCACCCCATATATTCAGTAGGCAGACAATCTTAACGGCCGTCTGGTGTAGTGGTAAGTGACATGGTCACTACACAAGGGGGTCGCGGGTTCGAATCCCGCCAAGGGAAGATATCTGTATGATAAATATAAATGTCTTTTCCAGGGTTATGGATGTATATTAAATATATGTATGTGTATAATAAAAATCTTACATTTATATCCGTTATCTGGTACCTGTAACACAAGTTCTTTACGAACTTATCACGGGACCAGTTAACGTGGCGTGATTGTTAGTCAATATTTATTTATTATTTATTATTATTTATTAATCCGTTTTCGATATTCAAGGCCTTATTTACCTAAAACAAAAACTATTTATAAGCTTTGTACATTGTAAAAGGTCTAACCCTATTATCATGGTATGGTAGAAACAACATTTTTTCGCGCCGTTAAAAAGCAAATAAAACACGCACCGACATAACTCCATTTTTTGTTGTTTAGTTTTTTTATACTTTTTAATTTCAAGCACTTTGTACGTGACTTTCGTTATTTGCTATCGGCTTGAAGTTATCTGATCAAAACCAAAAGATCTTATAACGGCTTCACTGGGGAAAGTCAAAGAGTTTCTATGCTGTAATCCGTCAGGGCTCATAATTCAATTATACTAAAAATTTGTACATCAATCACCAACCACTTTAACGTTGTATGTTTGTTTTTCGATTGAAATGCTATTTTTGATAACATTTAATTCTCATAGTACAGGAAAATGAGCTATTTGTGAATTGAAATAAAGCAT